ATGCTTTAGTGGATTTCAAGGAGACCCACTATAAAAGGGCTCCTCAGAAATTGTAAGGGGACGGCGAGTTCATGCCACAAGAAGAGATACCCATATTCACGAGAGCTATTGATAGTACTAATTCCACGTGCTAGCTGTCCAAGTACTTAAATGAGATCAAGCAATAACAAATAAAGGTATTTTATTTGATCAAGAAGGACCTAATACAATCTAAATTATTATCTCGAGGGCCGAATGACTGCGGTCGGGCAGATCTATAGATAATCTATCGATCGTCCAAAAGTCCCCCTCACTGTAGCTGTCGTGGGTATTTATAGCCGCTAGACCGTGAGACACATCTCCGGGCGGCCGACATGTAACCCACGTAGCCTCCACGCGTCTTCACCCGGCGAGCCCTCTCTGTCAACGTGTACCACTGCCACGTGCCTCTTCTCGAGATCCTTGACTCTTTGTAAGACAAGGCCCACCGAACGGGTGATAAAATCCTTGGTCGGTAATTCCACCAGTCGGGTCCGACCGTCACTCCTTTAAGAATGGCCGACTTGTAAAATCTGCACAAAGAAAGAGAAAAGCCGAGTTGTATCAGTCGGGATATATCCTACCAAGAGCCCCCCAGCCCGGGCCTTTTTGACCACTCGGAAAAAAACGGGACGGGATGAAAAGGTCTAATCAGTCGGCCTTTAATCCTGACCGGACAGCTGTCGCTTGTCGTGCCACATGTCGGCGCCTGCGCGCCTTGAAGTCTGCAACGGTCACATCACGCAAGTAGGCCGTTTTCCCGCCCAAATATTTCCTATAAATAGGCGCTTCTGGAATTCATTTGAACTTTTACCATTCTGCGAGAATTAACCGGAGCTTCCCGAGCGAGCAGTACTATGCATCAATCGAGCAACGGCTTCCAACCTTTTCAGCAGACAGCACTCAATCGGTAAGTTTCTCATTTTCTTATATCGTACTGCATAACGGCCGACTTCGACACCCCACTAACCCCGACCGAACAATAACCGACCCCTCTGCTGAAACCCGACCATCTCCTTTATGAAGGGGACATGTCAGACACCGACAACCAAAACATTTCGGGAGCGGATTATGACAACGCGGTCGAGCAACTTAGCGAGGAGACGATGATTGAAACATCCTCGCCTGAAGTCATCAAGGTCGTTCAACGACTGAACAAGGTTTCTGAGCACCAAAGCTCTTCTAGCTCGGAGAGCTCATCGAGGTCGAGCGACTCGAGCAGTGACAACGGCAGTGATAACAGCGCTTCAACGAGCGGCCGCAAATCTCCAACCGACGAGGTTCGAGAAACGCCCACGAGGACTATTGGGTCCGACCACGGGACTTTCGTTCCTGCACATGACCGGGAAGCCACACCTGACCCGATCGAGGAAGAAACGACTACAGCGGCCGCCACACCGGAATTTGTCTTCCTCAACAGCGAAAGTGTCGAGCAGCAAGAGTGCTTGCTGACGACCGGCGAAGATTGCCGCAAGGCTAAGTGGTCGGGTGCAATTCGATACCCGACGGAGCCTAGGGAATATAAAGGAACGCCACCAAGGGAAGTGGATCGGGATGCATTTCGATTCTCTGCTAACCCCGATCACTTTCCCCTTCTCCCGCCTTTTGACTGCGTTCTTGGGCTACTATTGAGTATTACCCGCCCAAGTATGCCCGAACGCGCATCGCATCCTAGCTTACTTTCCGCAGATTTGCGCTCGACACGACGTTGTATGCTCGATGGAACTTTTCAACTTCATCTACCAGGTTAAGCCCTTGGCGGCTAAGTACGGGGGTGGCTTCCTAATGGCTCAATCCCGGGCTGATCTGTGTTCGATCGAGGACTTGCCCGGGAACAACCGAGGATGGAAGCATCGGATCTTCTCAGTCAAGTATGACCCGTGGATTCTCCCGGACGTGGGGGACGCACTACAGGAAACAAGTGCAGCCGGTCGAGACCCGAGCCCTCCGCGAAGCAACTTTCCGGATTTCTAGTGAAATTTACGAGCACAAGATTTTCCGGACAAAAGAAGCTTACGATGCCGCCCGATTGCCGCCACCTCGATACGACCTGGACCAGAAGTACAAACCTCAACCAACGGGCGTATCGGTTGCCGTAGCGGCTCCCCAGGCTGAGCCGGTCAATGAAGGTCTAACGCTAACCTAGCTTTCCCGACCGTAACTCTCCCAATCGTAATCTGTTTTGCGTTCTTAACCATGTAATTTTTGTTTGCAGAGATGGGTCCGCCATGCAGCTTCCAGACAACCAACGCACCACGAGCCCCCCGAGCCAAGATAGTGCTCGGGAAGAAGAAGACTGATGCCGGGTCATCCGGTGACAAGGAGACCGAAGGAGTTTCAATCCTGGACGCTTGTCCGCTGGGCGCTTCGACGGTAACCACAGATGAAGGGCCGTGGTCGAAGAGACGAAGACCGATGCATTGGCTCCCCGAGCCGTAGGTCGTAAGGGGAAAGAAAAGATGACCGTGAAAGACACGGATGAAGGGGGCGCACTCAAGCGTCGACGAAAACAGAACAGCCCCCCAAGCGGGGCTGTCACCGGCGATGAGTCTCTCCTCACCCGGATCGGTAATCTTTAGCCAACCAAGGAGGATATCAGCAAGCTAACGCCCGGGCAGGTGGCCGAGAAAAGCGGCCAAGACTTGGTTGAGGTATGATTTCGTTACTTCTTTAGTTCCAGCAAACTGTAGTCGCTCGAGCTAACGTGTTTTCTTTTGCAGTTGTCCCAAACAATCCAATATCTTCAGCGCCGAGCGCAGTTGGCCAATGAGGCCGACGCTATGAGGGAAATCGCCGAGCGGCGAGGAAAAGAGAATGCTGAGCTCCGCGACAAGCTGAAGGTGTCCGAGGATGCTCTAGCTATTGCCGAGAAAGCCGCTCGGGAAGCATCGGTGGAAGCGGCCGAGCTCAAGTCCCGACTGGGCAACCTCTCAGGCCTGGGAAAGTTCCTTTGTCGAGATGAGGCCTCGGCCGAGAAGTTCTTCAAGGAATTGATGAAGAACAAGCTCGGAGAGGATATGATCTGGATGTTCGGGCACTAGGCCTTCAGGTCCGACCAGCGGACTATGCGGGAGGAAACCCGATCCATCATGGAAGAGGTTTTCGAGGGCGATGATTTAAAGTCCGTGCTGTCCACCCTTCCCGATGAAGTGCCTAATCCCGGCCCGGCCCCCTTTACCGAGCCATCAGAAGCTACGGCCGAGCCCAGCGCCGGTGAGAAGAACATAGAAAAGGTCGTGTAGTTGCCGACCATGTAATAATAATTTTTGAATTGTTGTGAACTGCATCCCATCGGGAGCCCGGTCCCGTTTGAACCGGGCAACTTTTGAATTATGAATGAACGAACTTTTTGCTTCTCTTGTATTTTGTCCGATGTGAATGTTTTTTAATTTTTACGATCGCTCGACCGTTCTTTTTGCGATCAACCTAATTACTCTCCTTAGCCCCCATTGTCGAAGACATGAGGAACGAATGAGTGCGAGAGTAGTAAAGGTAGGTTGATCGGTCTTTGCTATCCCGGGTGTGCTGTTCTCCCGAGTGATGGCGTGACACGACCATCCGCCGAAGATGAGCATTTTCTCGGGCGTTAGAATCCGCCCGAACGAAATGTAAAGGATGTCGAAATCTATAAGGCCTGTACCCCTATCGGTCGGTCCCGAGGGAGAGGTTAACCTATATCGGCTATAACCGAATTTTTTGATCCCGGTATACTCGGGCAAGTTTTGCGACATTGTGGTCGGTAGGCTTTCACCCGACCGGATCACTGATGCCGTATCTTGATCAGATGAAATTACAATCCGAGTAACTTGGAATTTAAACAAACTACTTGCCATTTACATATATTGATAGTCGGTCGAGCCGCCGTGCGCAGACGAGCGAGCAATCATCGATCGACATTACAAATTTATTCCGTTCGCAAACGGATAGCAATACATATTGTAACTATACAACAAAAGATGAGCGTGTCCACTCACAGGTGAAGCCCCCACCCCATCCGAAAATTACAAGACGACATTAACGTCGAAATAAAACCAAATTCTCAGAATTCCAAGTGCCTTCAATCAGTCGCCCGGTCGTTGTTTCCAATCGGTAAGTGCCTGGACGAACTACGGCCGTGATTACATAAGGGCCTTCCCAATTTTGGGCCAGCTTGCCTCCTTCTAACGGCTGGCTCGCTTCTCGACGTCTAACACATAGTCTCCGACTTGAAAATATTGTGGATTGACCCGGACGTCTTTCGTGCTTTTGACGCTCTTCTGGTACTCGGCCATACGCCTAGCCGCAATCTCCCTCTTCTCTTTAACGCCGTCTAGATCCACGGCTATAGAGTGTTCATTCTCTTCCGCATTATAAGATCACTCTCTGACGGTTGGGATCCATGCTTCGATCGGTAACCGTGCTTCAGCGCCATAAACTAAAGCGAACGGCGTTTCCAACATTGCCTCTCTAGGGGTCGTGCAATATGTCCAGAGCACGTATGGGAGCTCGTCAGCCCAGCTACGACCGGCTGAGTGCAACTTTTTCCTCAAACCCTCCAAGATTGTTTGGTTGGCGTTCTCTACTTGACCATTGCCTTGCGGGTAAGCCACCGACGACCGGATTGAGGTTGCCCCGATTGTTGCCAAGAAATTTTGAAAGTATTGGCTTACAAATTGCCGAACGTTGTCACTGATCAGATGAACTGGCACGCCGAACCGGGAAATAACATTCTGCCATAAAAACCTGGCGCACTGCTGAGAAGTGATCGTGGCTAGAGGCTCGGCCTCGATCCACTTAGAGAAATAATCAATGGCCACAATGACGAAGCGCCTTCGATCGGATAACTGCGGAAATGGTCCCAAGATGTCTACTCCCCAACAAGCAAACGGAATCGCGTTCGTGACTGGCTGGTAAAATGTGGCCGGACGGCCAGGCATCCGGGCATATAGCTGACACGTCTCACACCCTCTGGCAAGCTTTTCACAATCCAATTGAATAGAAGGCTAATAGTATCCGATCACCATGATACGCCGGGCAAGCGATCGGCCTCCTTGGTGAGATGAACATATGCCTGAATGCAACCGGTTCATGACTAAATCGGCTTCAAATGAATTCAAACATCTCTGTAAAGGACCTCCATATGACCGTCTATACAAACGATCGTCTTGAACTTGAAATCTCGGAGCTCTTAATTTCTCCTTTCGAGCGCGTTGTGGATCATCCGGTAAATGACCATGCTGAAGATACTCCATTAAATCAGAGATCCATGTTTCCTCGGCCGGTTGAATTGGCGCGACCGACAAGCGGTGAATACTGTGTCTCGGAATCATCAGAATCCGAGTGATCTTCGATATATGCTCAGGGGCTTCCTGCGCCAACTTGGATAAAATGTCTGCATCGGCATTGTCCAATTGGGGAACATGACGGAGCGGTATACGCCCGGAACAAACTAAGCTTTTCCAAGGCCAGATCTGGATAAGCTTGTAGTCGTTCTCCGTTGACCTCATAATCGCCCAAAACTTGCCCGACCACCAATGCAGAGTCGGTTTGTGCCCGGACGTATTCAGCCCCCAATTCTCGAGCGCATTGTAAGTCATTTACAAACGCTTCATACTCGGCTTCATTGTTGGTCGGGTTGAACTGATACATCAGGGCTTAGTAAACTTTGAAGCCCTCCGGGCTTGTTATCACGACTCCTCCGTCGGCTCCTTTCCTACTACTTGACCCATCGGTGGCCAACGACCACCACGTTGCCTCGGGATCTTCCACCTCCGGAGGTCGGGTTTCCCGAGCAGTACATTCAACCAAGAAATCGGCCAAAGCTTAGCCCTTGATACTGGTCTCGGTCGGTATTCAATGGCATATTGTGTTAACATCAACGCCCATTTGACTAAGTGTCCGGAAGAACAAGTAGTACGGAGAACTTCCCCGATTGACTAATCGGTTAACACGTGAATGGCTCGACCTTGAAAATAGGGGGCCAACTTCTTCGCTGATGTATACAAGGCGTAGACTATCTTTTCCAACCGGGAGTAACGGAGCTCGGGTCCATGGAGCGCGTGGCTCACATAGTAAACCGGTCGCTGCACCCCTTCCGAATCTGTTCGGTATAACACTGCACTGACAGCTCGATCGGAAACGGCTAAATAGACGTCTAGTTCTTCCCCGAGCTCGGGCTTCGACAAGACGATCAGTGACATCAGATACTCCTTCAGCTCATCAAAAGCCGCTCGGTATTCATCATCCTATACGAACCCATTGACCTTCCGCAATACCTTAAAGAACGGTAAAGCGCGCTCGGCCAATTTTGAAAGAAATCGGCTCAGGGCTGCCAATCTCCCAGTCAGTTGTTGCACCCCCCGAACGGTTGTGGGCGACTGCATGTCAAGAATTGCTTTGACCTTGGCGGGGTTGGGATTGATTCCTCTTTTTCTCAACATGTAGCCAAGGAATTTTTCCCGTTTGCACAGCAAACGTGCACTTGTTGGGATTCAAACGTAACCGGTATTTCCGCATGATTTGAAAGCACTGTCGGAGATCCCAAGTATGATCTGCTCGGTCTCGACTCTTCACCAGTATATCGTCGATATAAGCTTCCATCGTTTGACCTAGCAGGTCTTTAAAGAGCATATTGATCATCCGCTGATAAGTCGCTCCTGCATTTCGGAGGCCAAACGACATAACCCAGTAACAATACAACCCGTCAGGTGTGACAAAGGTCGTCTTACTCTCATCTTCATGATTCATCATGATTTGATGATAGCCTTTGAAAGCTTCCATGAAGCTCATCAGCTCAGCCCCGACCGTTTCGTCAACCATCTGATGGATGCTAGGCAACGGGTAAGGATCTAGCGGGCATGCTTTGTTCAAGTCGGTGAAGTCAATGCACATCCTCCAGGAGGGAGGCTTTGGAACGTGTACAATGTTGGCCACCCACTCGGGATAAGTGACCGGGCGGATGTGCCCAATTGCAGCCATTTTCTTCACCTCTTCTCGAACGAACTCTCGGCGATCGGAGGACAAATGTCGAGTCTTCTGAACAACCGGTTTAGCTGCGGGATCTACAGCTAACTTGTGGCAGATTACAGTTCGATCAATCCCAAGGCATATCTTCAGGCCCCCATGCAAATATATCAGCGAATTCCCAGAGGATCGCCAACACTTCCAATCGCAATTCAGGGGTGAGGGCCCGACCGATCTTTATCTTCTTCTCCGGTCGCTCCTCAGACAAAGGAACCTCCTCTATTTCCTCAGAGGGCTCGGGTTGTTCCTTCCGATCTTTGACGGCTTCCTTGACAATAATGTTCACTCGGGAAGAACCAGCGTCTCGCCGATTGATGGCCCGGGAATAACATTTTCTCGCCGACTACACGTCACCTTGTAAAACTCCGACGCCGGCTGGGGTTGGGAATTTCATGCATAAATGAGGCATCGAAATGATTCCGCCGACCCTCATAATAGCCGGTCGGCCCAAAATAACGTTGTGGACGCAATGGAGGTTGACCACAACAAATTCTAACTCCGTCTTTACTTACTTTGGTGGGGTTCCAAGCTCGACCGGGAGCATGATCTTTCCCTCGAGGCGTATGGTAGCTCTGGTAAATCCTGAAAAGGGCACACTGACCGGAATCAGCTCTCGCTTGTCCAACTTTAGCTTCTCAAATACGTCCAAATAAAGGACGTTCACACTGCTCCCGGTGTCCACCATTACTCTTTGGACATCGGTTCCCATGATATCAATCGTGAAAACAAGGGCTTCCATCCCATTGTCTCCGCTTTCCGGTTGGTCTTCAAGGGAGAAGGTAATTGGTTCCATCTTTTGCCTCTTGCCGGTTTCCCGAGAATCGACGATCGCGACCGGGCAACTTTCCCGAGCCTGAGAAGCATCTTCCAAACCTCCAAATATAACATGGATGGTCGGTTTGGATGTTGGTCTGGCACTCGATGGTGGATCGGGATCTCGCCGGTCTTGATCTCTCCGGTCAGAGCGATGATGAGACCGCCTATGGTCTTTTCTTTCGCCCACTCTTTTGTTCTCTTCTCTCTTGCCGACACATTTGTCCAACTTTCCCAATTGAAGCAAATCTTCTAACAGCTGCTTTAAGTGCGTGCATTCCTCTATGTCATTCCCAGCACATTGATGATAAGCGCAATGTTTTGACTTATCCGACCCATCCGGTCCCGGATGCGGTAGACGAATAAGGTTGCAGGACTGGGCATATTGCATAGCCTCCGCTGCAGATCGGTTTAGTGCCGTGAACTCTCCCGGTTGTGTACGAGGTCGGGGATGATCTTCGACCGACCGACGATCCGCTCGACCGGAAGGCTTTCGGGACGATGTGCCGACCTCTTGACGGCATTTGCCTCACCGGCGTTGGCATAGTCCGTCACTCTATGGAGGGCTTCTTCATAAGTTGTAGGCGGATGGAGTATAAAATCCTGGTACAGATAACCGGCCTGGAGGGAGATGTGCAACATGTGAATGGCCGTCAGGTCGTCCATAGGCTCAACCTCCCCGACCGCCGCCTTCCACTTTACTAAGAATTCGGTCAAGATTTCTCCCTCCAACTGTTTAGCCTTCTCAAGGTACATGTAAGGCTTCCAGATAACCTTGGAGGTTACAAACTTCCGGTTGAACTTAATCGCCAAACTGGTGAAATCAGAGAGAGAACCCGGTTGCAGTGTCCTCAACCATTCCGCCGCTCGACCCGTGAGCGTGGAATAGAAAGCCCTGCACATCACGGCGTAAGATACGCCCATCATCAACATGTTGCCATAAAATGTATTGACATGAATTTCTAGGTCTGTCCGCCCATCATATTCCTTATTCCCGGGGATGCACAAATGGAGCGGGTAAGGCTGAGCCATGATCTCCGCCGTGAAGGGTGTCCTCAATAACGAGGCTGTATGATCGGTAGAGGCCTTACAGCGTGCTCGTTCTGCCAGCGAGTGAATTTTGCCCGGAGTTCGTTCAACATTCCTCGGGTTTCGTCTTGTGCGATCGTTTGGGCTGATTCCCGAGCCCGGCGTCGTCGATGTGATTTAGACCCACTATGCCCGGACGACCCCTCATGGCTTGCCGCTTGCATGGGCGAATCAACCGAGCGTCTGTCTGGATCCTGCGATCCCAATCTTTATCGCATTGCTGATCGGAGCCGCTCGAATGCCATCGCCCGGTTGGCTTCTGTCTCAAGGTCTTCGACCACCTGAGCTTGTGTTTCTGGCTGAACATGTGGAGCCTGCCGTGGTTCCTCCATGACCTCAGCCCCCTGTGACCCCAACCTCGAACAAGCCGAGCGCCTAGCCCGGGGAGCGGGCTGAAGCTCCGGCTCGGTCGGCATGGTCGGGTAGTTCGGGGGAGCGGAAGCTGGAGCCGTGTACGCAGGCATAAATTGCGGATAACCGGTTGGTGGCGGATAATACATCGGTGTTCCAGGCCAACACCCATATTGAGGAGGTGGAACTGGGTATGGATATTGTCTGGGAAATTGATATTGCGGCCCAGGCAGTGGATATGTCGGCTGAATATAATTGACCGGGTTCGGGCCCACCGATCGTGGTGGTGATAGGTTGAGGTTCAGGTCGACTGTTTGACCTTGATACTGTGTACGTTGGTGGTCGGATGAACTTGCTGCGTCCGCTTGCTCATCCTCGAGTGTTTGGTACATGAACGGATACATGGTGATGAGAAGGATCCGGTACTCTTCTACAATAGCTTTCATACCCGGATCCCCACAGACGGCGCCAAAATGATAGTACTAATTCCACATGCTAGCGGTCCAAGTACTTAAATGAGATCAAGCAATAACAAAAAAAGGTATTTTATTTGATCAAGAAGGACCTAATACAATCTAAATGATTATCTCGAGGGTCGACTGACTGCGGTCGGGCAGCTCTGTAGATAATCTATCGATCGTCCAAAATTCCCCTCATTGTAGCTACCGTGAGTATTTATAGCCGCTAGACCGTGAGACACATCTCCGGCCGGCCATCATGTAACCCACGTAGCCTCCACGCGTCTTCACCCGGCGAGCCCTCTCTGTCAACGTGTACCACTGCCACGTGCCTCTTCTCGAGATCCTTGACTCTTCGTAAGACAAGGCCCACCGAACGGGTGATAAAATCCTCGGTCGGGAAGTCCACCGGTCGGGTCCGACCGACCTGTAAAACCTGCACAAAGAAAGAGAAAAGCCGAGTTGTATCGGCCGGGATATATGCTACCAGCTATTACTCCCTTCTATTTTTGAAAGGTGAATCCACCAACCACGGTTGTGTTGGACCTCCCTGGGCCCAAAAACCGTAAAACCAACATCTACAATTATTATATTATTTGTATTCAGTTAATAAATCATGTGTCTGTAAATAAATTGAAGTCACATAATATGTTAACTATAAGACACATAATATGTTAACTATAAACCATGGTTGCAGTAGGCGCTACGTGCTAGTCGGGCGCCCGGACAGCGCCTAGCGCCTCGGTGGTCTAGGCGGGCGCCAAAAAACAGTGGTAGACATGCAGTTTGACAATTTTAATGAGGTTGTTTTCAACATTTAATCAAATAATGCATCCAAATAAATGAATTAATGACAATTCATAAGTCATAACATCAAAACAATGGTTTTAAAAAAAAAACATTAAAACAATATTAAAAATTAAAAATACTCAAATATGAAATACTCAAATACTTCAATTATCCAAAGATTCAAAGTATCAAACTAGTCTACGAGTGTATATATGTCATATTATATATATATATATATATATATATATATATATATATATATATATATATATATGTATGTATGTATGCGCGCGCGCACACACACACACACACACATATATATAATAAAAAAATAGGCCGAGCGGATCGGGTTAACTCGACCGAAATGGACGAGTTAACTCGAGTAACTTAGACGCTAGGCGGCCAAATCGGCCGAGTTAGGCGCTAGGCGGACGCCTAGGCGGCCGGTAACCTAGGCGGGCGCCTAGGGGGGAAATCGCCACGGTCTAGAGGCGCCTAGCGCCTAGGCGGGCGCCTAGACCGATTTTTACAACCCTGCTATAAACACATAATATGTTAGCTACATATTATGTGCTTGCGGTTAACATATTATGTGCTTGTAGAGTTGTAGTTAACTTATTATGTGTATGTAGTTAGCATATTATGTGTCTTCAATTTATTTACAAACACATAATTTATTAACTTCAAATACATAATATGTTAAGGGAAACCGAATCAAGCAGCTATAGGATCATGTGAATCTCATAAATAATACTGATGCGTAGTATATTTGCAAACAAATAATTCTCGGAGTACGAGTTATCGATCCACAGGGAAGTGGTTGTATCAAGCACTAGTTACTAACTTATTCATTAGAGCTAATCCTAACAATTACTTAGATGATTGATTGGCATAAAATAAATAAAATAAAACAGAGGTTCAGGATTTTGAAAACAATTAGAGAGAAGTTGAGATTCTTGGGATTCAAGTATTTAATCACCTAGTGCCAATTATCGTTTGCAATATTTAGTTTGGAATTAAGATTTGTGTGGGAATGCAAAGTGGAATCGAATTACTCCCGTAATCTCTATTCCTAGTGAATTTCCACTCCCATGGCTTAAACACCCAATAAGATCAAAGATCAGCATTCAATTATTCCTAATTACTACCATCTCCCGCTTGGCAACAATCTAGAATAAACTTCCCCTAATAAATTCCCCTTTCCCAAGGACCAACCATTAGGTGCAATCGTGTGTGCCCTAATTTATGCCCCAACTCCCATTGGTGACACAAACATGGCTATGAAGCTAGTAACTATGGCCATTAATTACAAGCATCAAACAATATTATCACGATTGCAACACAAGTATTAAACCCAAATAATAATATTTTAAAGAAACTGAGAGCTCAGGCACATAGGTTCATAAACACTTTTACCCAAGAATCTCTAAAGAATTTAGCCAAGCATGACTAAATTATACATAGCAAATATAAATAAAGAATTACAAATCATCAAAAGAGTACAAGAATTAACCAGACGATTTTCCCAAATCTCCCTAGTCTTCTTCTTGCTTTCCCAGACAACTTGTGGCTCTTGATTTCTCTCCTTCTTGTCTCCAAGAATCTCTGAATTCTCCCGGTCACCGTCCTCCCATTAGGGTTGAGGAAGGAGGGATTTTATAGTGGGTACAAAGTTGAGATGAAATAGGAATCTTGTACCAAATTGGACTCAAATTCTAATTCCTATATTTAAATAAAGAAATTGTCGTCTTTAATGATATTTAGAATTTGGAAGATTCCTTGAATTGCTAACTTTTAATATGGAGATATGAGCCTTGAAATCCGCGCAATTGATATTAGGAAAAGAGATCTCGCGCTTGTATTGAATTTTGCCCAGCTGCGCCACTTTAAGCGTCTGTTTTTTTATCGCGCCACTTTAGGCGTCTGTTTTTATCCCAGAAACAAACGCATATTCGACGCGTCGAGAATTTTCTCCACGCGTCGAGACTTCCTGTGCGCGAATTAATTAGCTACTGGAAAATTTCGACGTGTCGAGCCCTTGGCTCGACACGTCGAGTCCACTGGGCCCCGAACTCATCCAAAATTGCTCCAAACTCATCCTTGAACTCCCCTTGGTCATATCTTTGACCTAAAATGGTTCAAAAACACTAACAAAGACCGTAAAATATTCAAAACAAGTGCGAACCATAATTAAATGATAATAGCAAGGAAAACATGTATTAAATAAGCAAAATTAAAGAGCTTAATTACTGTGATGATTCAAAATAACCATAAAAACAAGCACAGATGTGATAACATCAAATACCACCATAAGGAATATAATTATCACCCTGTGCAACCGCTTTTGTTACTACCTAAGCATCAGTTTCAATGATCACCCTTTGCCATCATCTCCTCTTAATCCAACTCAAAGCTTCCCGTGCACCCATAGCTTCCGCTTCGCGTACCATAAACAAACCTTCCACACTTTTCATGGCTACCCCTTGGACAACCCCTTCGTCATTATGTACCACCCACCCAAAACCCGTCCGGCCGTCTGTTATTAAAGGCCAAGGCAGCATCAATGTTTATCTTCAGAAAATGCAAAGGAGGAGGACACCAGTTCCTAGGTTGTTGTTGTTGTCCAAACTGTCGTCCAGGGGCCTGAGTCACGACTTGGAGAGACTTCCAGTTTGCCATAAACATGTAAGCATGATGAATCAAAGTTGTAGGGTCTTTAAATTGATTATTCCACACCATGTCATTTCGATTTTCCCAAATTGCCCAACAAACAACAACAACTTTCTCGCACATCTCCCTCGACAAGGACCGCCTCATATCATTCACCCAAGCTGGAATAGATTCCTTCCAACCAAGCCCCTACTCCTTATTTAGAACCCTCCAACAAGCATGAGCAAAAATTGCAGTCTCATCCTCTCTACCACACAAAGGACAAATAGGATCACAACGCACCTATTTTATAATCAAAGCATCTTTAGTAGGTAGCTTCATAGTACACAACGTCTAGAAAAAACATTTAATTTCCGGGGGCAGATGCAATTTTGATTTTCCCAAATTGCCCAACAGACAACAACAACTTTCTCGCACATCTCCCTCGACAAGGACCGCCTCATATCATTCACCCAAGCTGGAATAGATTCCTTCCAACCGAGCCCCTACTCCTTATTTAGAACCCTCCAACAAGCATGAGCAAAAATTGCAGTCTCATCCTCTCTACCACACAAAGGATAAATAGGATTGCAACGCACCTATTTTATAATCAAAGCATCTTTAGTAGGTAGCTCCATAGTACACAACGTCCAGAAAATACATTTAATTTTCGGGGGCAGATGTAATTTCCACACTGCCCAATCACAATCCCTATCATCGACACACATTCCTTTTGAAATCCTATAAGCACTACAAAACGTGTACAAACCAGTGTCCTCCCCACCCCAAAACAAAGAATCCCTCATTGGCATAGAAGGGGCAGGAAGGCTTAGAATAAGAGAATTGTCCCGATAACAAAAAAGATATCTCACTAAATCCACATCCCAAGTTGTAGTACTTGTAGAGAAAACTGATTTAACAAGAGGGTTGTCCAAATATATAGGTTTTGGAGTGGAAATATACGGATCATTACAGTCTACAGCTACGGATCACCCCATCCCCTCACCTTCTCCCCATCACCTATTCTCCATCTAGACCCCTCCATCAACAGACTTTAGGATTCATGAATACTAGTCCAAACAAACGAAGGATTTGTCCCCGACCTATACTCAAGGAAAGAACCATTTGAGAGTATACCAAATTACACCATGAATATGTTCTAACTACCAAAAGGGTTGTGTGATGAGATGGAGAAACTTATGAATTCATTCTGGTGGGGCTGCGAGGGACGGGAAAGGAAGGGGATCCGTTGGAGTACGTGGGCTGATTTATGTAGACCTAAGAGGTTTAGGGGAATGAGGTTTCATACTGTGCGAGAGATGAATGTGGCCATGCTCGGAAAACAGGGTTGGAAGTTTTTAAATGAGCCTGATTCCTTGGTGACTAAAGTTTTTAATGCCCGTTATGTTCAAAAGAAGAGTTAAATTCATAACTTTTCAATCTAATATACTCTTATCATAACCAATAGACCATCCCAAATCCAAAACACTAAATTTTATACCAAAGAGAATATTCTCAGGATATTTTTACACCAAAAAAATTATCATCTC